TCTTGTGATCGGTTTCAGCCTTCGCTTCAGTGACAGGGTTTCGGAGTTTGTGTGCTGCCATGAAACACATCCGAGAATTTTTCTGACTGCCCCATATCGTTTTCACGCCATTAGGGATCGGGAATTTGACACACAGATGATATGTTGATGCGACAGCTCGCATTAGATTAAACCACGGGGTTCCCATTATGACGTTGTAGATGGTAGGTCGATCGGTGACTGAGAAGTTGACTATCTTTGTTACCCCGCCGGCTCGGACTGGTAGTTGGATGGTTCCAAGCGTCATCAAAGTTTCCCCTGAAAATCCGAGGACAGGCCTCGGGGTCGGAATCACCTGTGACATGTCGATGTTCATTTGTCGGAGCGTTTCGCGAAAGATTACGTCGATGGTGCTGCCGGTGTCAATTAATACTCGGTAGATATCATGGTCTCCTATCGCTAATGTGACGACGATTGGATCGTTATGAGGCATGTCGAGCCCGTTTGTCTCGCTTTCTTCGAATGTGATCACGTCGTTAGGTCGATCGAAGCGTCTTGTCCAGTTGCTAGGCGTCTCGGCTCGGCGTTGATAAGCTTTGATTGCCGCCACGGTGTCAGGACAGTATGGCGATCCGCCCATTATGGTAAGAATCTTCTGCCGCGTACCATCCCGGTCTTCGTCTTCTGACCCCCGGGTTCTTTTTTGAGACTCCTGGTTCCTTGGTTCGGGGTCTCTTCCTGGGTTGGTCTGCTCGGACTCCGGTTCTGGCTCGAGGTTCTTAAGAGTAACGTTTGTCCCGAGCTCTCCAGCTAGGAATTTGGTTGCTAACTTGGCTCCGAGGCTTCGGCATCTCGAGGTATGATGGCCGAAATTTTGTGGTGTTCGCAATATTCTTGATCATTGCTCGGTGGCTGATCCCTTGTCTAGGTGAAGGACTCTCTTCCTCGCCCACGGCCTCGGCCTCTGCCGCGGCCACGGCCTCGGGGCGTGTCAATCTGATAGCTATGGTATCCTGAGAAATTACGCCCTTCGTGGTGCGTATACGTACCGCTCTCACGTGTCTTTTTCAGCACCGGAGGCGTCGCTTGGGCTTTCTCGGTTTTCTCAGCTCGGGGCACCTGTTTCGTTGGCTCGTGCCTCTTTGATAGCAGCGCCATCTCTTCTTCGTGGGCGACGAAATCCGAGGCTCGGTGCAGCGCGTCGCGAATTGTTGTCGGTTTAGACAGATTCAACTCTTTCCTGAACTCTGATTTATACCAGAGGGCTTTCTTTAAAGCCGAAAGAGCGGCTACATCTGTAATTCCTTCTACCTTGGCTAGCGTCGATTTGAAGGTTTTGAGGAAATCTCTTAACGGCTCGGTGGGCTGTTGAGACAGGGACCACAGATCCGCGTCGGAGGTTCCGGGGTCGATGAGCACGGAGTATTGCTTGAGGAACAGTGTCGAGAGCTCGTCGAAACTGTCAATCGAGTTTCGTTCCAATCTTGAAAACCACTCTAATGCGGGTCCTTTGAGGTGTTCCACGAACAGTAGGCACAGACCTGCATCCTTTTCCCCGGGCTTGAACCTGGCTCGGGCCACAGATATCACGAACGATTTAATGTGGCACTTTGGATCGGTTGATCCGTTGTAAGAGTCGATTTTGAACTTTCCCAGATTGGACATCGTCGTTTCGGAAATTCTTTTGGTGAAAGGCGTATTCCGAGATTCTTCCAAAATTCGGTCGATGTTCGGTGCGGAGGATGAAACGCTATGTATCTGGGTTTTGACGAGCTTCATATCAGCTTCCGCCTTGGCTAGGGAGGCTCGGATCTTGCTTAGCTCGTCTTCTCTTTCCGATTCTTCGGCCCACCTTATGTTTTCCTCAGTTTCTTCATCGTCAGTGAGATCTGTTCGCTCGGCAGAGTTAGCTCCGGCTCGGGTACGCTCATCTTGCAGATCATCGGGCTCGTCCGTTAAATCCACTGCGTCTGGCTCGGTGGGATCATCTTGGTTCTCGCGTCTGGCAGGGTCGGCTCGGGTTGCGGCTCTGGTGTTGCCGGTTGGTGTCGCGAACGTGAGTCTTGTTGGGTTGATGCCAGGTAAGTCCCTCCGAGCTCGTGGCGGCCGAGTCTGGAAACGGGTTGTTTTTGGTTGCCCACGTGTTGCAATTTCGTCGACTCGCTGCGCCAAGGTTTTGTTAGCTTTCTCTTGGTCGTCAGCTTTCTTCTGGAATTTAACCATCAGGTCTTTCAGTTCGGCTAGAGTTGCTATGATCGTCGGATCGGCTTGAAGATTCTGAGGGTTCGGAGGGTTCGGGATCCCTCCTCCAGCTGGTGGTGTCTGACGACCGTCTTCGTTCATCGTCCTCTCTGGTATTCGAGTCTTGCGTTCTTAGGGTAAGAGAATTCTAAAGTAATCCCCACAGACGGCGCCAAACTGTGGAAGTCGAAACTAACACAATCAAGATTTGTCTAGGGTTTTATTTTAGGGATACGATAATCGTGAATTCTCAAAGAACAATAGAAACGATTGTAACCAAAGATGGTGTTCTTGATATTATTAAGAAAAAGATGACTTTGATCGTACAAGAGTTTGATCGTAAAAGGAAAAAGATGTTTGTGCTGTGAGAGCTTTGCGTAGTGTAAATTCTAGAGCGATATTGCTTGCCCTTTGCTTGAGCCTTGAGTCTCTTTATATAGGGGTGATAAACCGCCTCTCCAGCGATATTCCCGGAAGATTTCCATTTATCTTGAAGTCGGCTCAGAATATCGCGGATTAGGATAGTTTCCTTATTTTTTGGGGTTTTCCTGATTTGAGTTGATCTTTCGAGATTCTCCCCTATCATTTCCGGGTCTATCGGAAGTGATCCTTCGGAAATGATACCTTACTTGGAAATGATACTTTGAAGGTGAATATTTACCAAGTCTTTGCCTCGGGTGATGATGAAGACTTCGCCTCGGAGAACTCGTGCAACTGGCTCGGGTATACAGGAAGGACTGGCTCGGGCACTCTAGAATGGCTTGTTTGAGTACCCCGAGGCGACGGGCTCGGGTGCTCCGAGGCGATTGGGCTCGGGTGCTCCGAGGCGATTGAGCTGGAGTACTTCCGAGGCGACTGGGCTCGGGTAACCCCGAGGCAATTGGGCTCGGGTTCTTGAGACGTCTTGTTCAGGTATCCCCGAGGCAATGGGCTCGGGGGCTTGAGACGTCTTGTTCAGGTATCCCCGAGACGAGGGGATCGGGTCTACTAAATCGATTAGGTGGATAACCTGAGGTGGCTGATGCGATATCCCGAGGTGGTCTCTGTAAAACTCCCGAGGTGTCCAAAGTCTTGCTCGGAGCCAAAGGATGGAATCCGACCCCAACAACGTTTGAACCGAGCTATCTACAAAGTACCGAAATCATGAACACACAACACAGATTTCAAAATCCGAAAACCTTAAACTTCATTCTCGTCAGAATATAAACGAAAGAAACAGGGCTAAATCTTACCTTCAGAGCCCTACGATCAGCAGGTGCACCAGAACCTCCTCGTGAAGAAGCCTCCAACTCCTCATCCGGAACAAGTTCCATTGCCTCACATAACGAAAAGAACTCCTAAACACAATAACAAGACTATATACATCAGTCTGAAAAAAATCCAACCAAATGCTCATCCCCACTAGCACAAGCATCAAAGCTCAGTAGAAAAATTACCTTCAACTTTGCATACGAGGCTTTGACAATCGGAATCCGGTCGTCCTGTATGATTTTCTCTGTCAACTCCGCAAGGTAATAAGGTACCTATATCACAAGAAAATATATCCCTCGTCACTTTAGTCTCGTTAGACGAAAACAGCGCCAGCTTCCCGATCATGTCTTCGCACTTCTGAAACATCTCACATCCTTTCTTCACAACATCCTTAAAAACCAAATCGCGGAAATATCCAGTTTAGTAAAAACTTGCGATTCGGATCCGAAATAACCATTTCAGATAAACACCCTAATCGAATTCGAATACAAAAATTTCACCTGATCAACACCGGACTCTGAAGCAGCGAGATGAATTTTCCTAGCTTGCTCGAATAGCGCCGATAAAGGCATTTCCTCCATAGCCAAACCACCCATCACAGGCAACAATTCAAAATTCCTCAATGAAATCGAATCCACAAGAATCGAGTTTCTTCGAGAAGAGGATCGGTCAAGTCTTTTGAAATTGTTTAGGGTTCCAAATCGAAATCTGACGAATTTACCACGAGAGTATAGGAGAGGAAGAAAATGTTAACTGCGAAGACCTTTATAAGGGACGGCTGAGATAATGCCGCGTCAGGTAAAGTAGATAACTCGAAATTTATTAGCCGTTAGATCTATACACAACCTCAAAACCGACTCAGTTGTAAAAAAAAAATCCAGTCAAAGATCAGGTGCGGGTGGGTGCAGAGTAAACCCGCCATGGATTGTGTTTTTTGTTAATTGAATGGTGATGAAATTTTGTTGATTATAGCATGTGTACAAGTATGAGTAAATTAATATCGCACTCGCTGTATAACCAGTTAGAATTATCGTAGTGCTCTTCATTCGATCGACCTAGGTATTGCGGTAAACCTAGGAGGAATGGTAGATTCTGATACATAAGGCAACTCAAATTAGACACACAAAAAAAAAATGAAGAGGTGAATTGATTGAACACAACTTACTATATGACTCTCACCCATTTCAGTCTACATAGCTTGAAAGGGAAATGAATACAGAACTTAAATGTTTGACTCTCACGTATTTCAACTCTACATAGCTTGGAGAGGAAATGAATTGACTGAATTAACTGTACTGTGATATTATATATACCCATTATTTAATCTCTCACGCTCACCCACGCAGAGAACAACATCCTCTGAAGCGTCCAAAGCTAGAGGGATGCTTCAAAAGTTGACCTGAAATGAGAATGGTAAGTTCAGAGAAACCACTTGTCAAATCTATAAGATATTTATGTGTGATTCATTAGGAGAATACGGAGTAAAAGGTTCTTACGGTACTTGTGCCTATATGGCAAGACAATTCTCAGTTATGGGTAATATTGGTTGGTTGGGTAAGGGAAGCGAGTGGCGACTTGGCTGAAAAAAAAAAGGAGTTTATCTATTGAGAAAAATGTGAAGAGTAAAAAATTATATGAAGTAGTTGAGTATCTTTATGAGTAGAACTTGAGCAATCCCAAAAGACTTGTCGTCACCCATTTTTTCAAGTCTAGCCTGACGGAAGAAATGAAAATGCTGGCAAACTCGATCACGATTATCTGATATAGAAGGAACAAAAAGAAAGTGTATAAGGTTTGGGGATACATAAGAAAAGAAATACAAGATAAATGTCGTGATCACTCGTACAGAGGACTTACTTGAGATATGATAGTTGAGGTTATTGTGACGAGAAACATATTCTCTCTAAGGATTTCTTTGAAGGTTTGGTCTACACTTTGGATTTCAAACTCATTACAAACCTGCGTTGGAGTTTGAAGACAGAGAGATGATCAACATATTCGCAGCCAAACAAAAAGTAGGACAAACCTCTCTCTCTTATTCGCTGTCATCATCTGGAATATCTTCTTCTCCAGATTCAACCGGAGTCGACAAAGCTGATGCTTTAGTGGAACGTCCACGTCGCTCCTTTCTCTCTTTAATTTCAAGAAGCTTTGCCTCTGCAGCCTTTTGACGTTTGAACCGAGCTATCTACAAAGTACCAAAATCATGAACACACAACACAGATTTCAAAATCCGAAAACCTTAAACTTCATTCTCGTCAGAATATAAACAAAAGAAACAGGGCTGAATCTACCTTTAGAGCCCTTCGATCAGCAGGTGAACCAGAACCTCCTCGTGAAGAAGCCTCCAAGTCCTCATCCGGAACAAGTTCCATTGCCTCACAGAATGAAAAGAACTCTTAAACATAATAACACGACTATATACATCAGTCTGAAGAAGATCCAACCAAATGCTCATTCCCAATAGCACTAGCATCAACGCTCAGCAGAAAAATTA